TGGCCATCAGGTGATCAGTGCATGACAGCCAGGGGAAGACAGAGAGGTCGGCTGTTCCTGCCAGCTCGCCAACCCCGTCCCTGCTGCGAGTGGCCATCAGGCAATCTGAGCCTGCTGGCTGGGGAAAAAGACCAAGAGGTGGTCAGTGCACCTCATGGTCCAGCAGTTGTTCTGGTCATTTTGCCATTAGGGTCAATTTGCATATTACACTTTTATTATATAGGATTTGCCCAAACCTTAGTGTTTGAGTAGCAGTGATATACTTTTACATTTTTTTTTCATTTGTTAATCTTTATATAAATATACCTAATGGAGTGTTACATGGCAACATAATTAATTTTTAAAATCATCCTGATACACTAGGAATTATAATTAATTAAGTACCATTATCTTGAAGCACCTTATAGGTTTTTAATGATATATAAAGAAATGCAGTATAAGTTTTAAAAAAAAGATCTAACTCCAGAATGTACTTGAAAAAGAAATCTGATTCTCTTTAACCAATGACACTTAAAAAAGAAATAAAGGATGGTTAGGTTTTAAATTTTCTTTAAGGAAGCATTACTCAGACTTAAGTATTTTGAAATTAATACCTTGACAATATTTGCCATAGTCTCTTCTTATGATTACCATTTTCAAAACTTTATTTTTAAATTTAATTAATAATAAAAATTTTATTTATATGAATAAAAATTACTTCCTTGCAATATATATAAAGTAAGCATAAAAATATATGTATAACCAAAAATGTTATACATGTATTACCAAATGCATACATGTGTAAATAAAGCATACTATTAACTAATAAAATTTTTAAAAATTAGTAAAATAAAGCAATAATGTATATAATTAATTTCTGAGCTGTAAATTAGTTCTTCAATAAAAACATTGCAGAAAAATAGGGTTTGCTAATCACTAATAATTATGTAGTACATTGTCACTTTGAGATAAAAATGGGGTTTAAAGTTAATTATGCACAGCTATTTTAAAAAAATTTAATATTAACCAGCATATTTATGCATTAGAAAAACATAAAGGATATATGCCCATTTTTCCAATACTAAAAATTAATTCTTAATCAAGCATGATGATATAAGTGGTTTTTATTCAACAAACTTTTATTTGAAAAAGCCATCTGGAAGGCTATTTTGGATCTGTTTTCCAGAACATATGGTTATTAATAACTCCTAGTTTTATGAGCATCAATTCATAATGTTTAGGAATATTTGCAGACTTTTTCCTAATAAATTAACTATGTAATTCAATAATCATGTTTGTTGATTAGAAGACTGAATGAATGGAGAGGATTTACAATAAGAGTCTGTCACTTTATTTTTCTGAGCAGGTAATACTCTCATAGTTTAGTGTTCTTATTCATACCATGTTATTAAATCCCTGTGAGGTGAAGTGATAACATGTAGCTGTGAGTCTCAGCCAAGACTAGAATATGATTCTAATAACTCCTGAGCCTCTCAAGTTCAACTAAGCTATGCTGGGGAAGTTGAAATGGACTCAAGGAGGTCAGCCTTGCCTTCATCTTCTTAAAGCGCTTGGTCTCAGCTTCCAGGCATGGGCTGACCTTGCTTAGATTGACACTTCTCTTCTCTGGTCATTTCATCTCGCTGGCCCACATCTTTTCTGCAAACCCTAAGACAGGACTCTGGGCAAGAAACTGATAACAGTTTATTAAATATGTCTGTCTGTGTGTGCAAATGCATACTGTATGAGACAAAATTAAGACAGACAGGGAAATTCAGCAGTATCTGGACCTTCTTCCTATACCACTGTCCCCTCCCTTCTATTATATCCATTGTTTTCCTTCCTGTCTTTACAACTAGTGTGGTCCTACCTTTCCAGCTGGGCTCCCTTCTTCCCCCAGTCTGCTAGAATATCCTGTTTAAGGCCCCCTGGTTTGCTACCGTTGGCATTTAAACCATACTTCAGCAAATAGCTATCATTTAAATACTTTAATGTCTAATAAATTTTGAATTTTTTTAAAAAGAAGGCTTATAAATTTGTGGATTGACAATATTTAACCTCCCTTCTTTCCAGTATGTAATTTTGAGCATTTTCTTTTTAAAGATAGGAGTCTTATTTCATAAAGGAACTGTAGAAGGATGACATTCCATATATTTTTTAACAGCTACAGTTATAAAATAAATTAGTAGATTAAGGAAAAGATTGAAGGTTGAGATTCATGGTCACCATGAGGATTGGGGCTATAACCAAGCTTTATGTATCTCTGCTAACCCAGCTCTTTGCTAACTGAAACAATAAGGAGGGTTCTCTATGAACCTGAAGGGCCAGGGTCTGATCATTTCAGCAGTGTTTTCAAACATCACTTTTTAACTTACGGATTCTCTGTCACACATCGTGAGTCCTTCTCACTCATTTATTATATTTCTTCTCCATAAGCATACACACCTTGTCTATTTCCTTAGTAGTTCTGATCCACATTTGAAAATGTGTTATTTAGATATTTGTTTATTTGATAATTATTTGTCTTGCTATTACTATTTGTTATCAAGACAGGCAAATGTCTTGTCTTCATAATGCCTGAAATACAATAGACCTTAATTAAATATTTGCTGAATACTGAATCATAAGAACTTACAATTGGTTTTGGGAAATCGAGACACATGAAAACTTCAGTGTTATCTCAAGAGGAACATCAAGTAATATTACAAAGTGGTACCTAATTAAATTCTATATTAAGTAAATAGTAAGAAGTTCTATAAGAATTAAAAAGGTAGAAAATATTTGCAAGAGGAAAATAAATATAGGCATTAGAGAGAGGGAGATAAAGAATGCCAAGTTTTATAGGATGGAAATGAAAAGGTATCAAAAAAGGAATTTAGTAAATAGTTTATCCTGATATATAACTTAGAGATGAAAGGATGGCAAGGTTGTGATTAGGTTATACTTTATAGAGCTTCAAAATACTAAGTTGAAGATGTTGGACTTTTTATGAAGTGAGCTAAGAATCAGTGAAATATCGGGGCAAAAACAAGCAGTTGACATTATGTTAAAGAAGTATAATTTAATGAAGCAGTCAATTTTCAGTGGAAAAGGAATAGATGATATAGGAGGGATGGTTAGGAAAGTGTCCATGATAGAATTGATGAGAAACAACATGATAGGCATTGACAATGGAAAAGGAAAGAAAGGAATGTATGTAGAAGATATTTCAAGGAGAAGTGGAAGGATTGTTGATTGTGAATTGAATAAAAATTAGAATGAGTGAAAGCTTACCGGGAAGTTATTGTTACCATTGAGAAAAAAAAGACAAAATTAAATTGGGGTCAAAAATAAACACACACACACACACACACACACACACACACACACACACAGTCTTCCATAAAAAGAGTATTATAATTCACATCATAGATGATGTTGTGTGTACTTAAACATCTAAAATAATCTATAAACACACAATTAGAATTAAAATGTGCTAGATGTTCATCTACAAACATCCAAAACTTAGAGAAAATTTACTTAAAGCTATGCAAAACTTAGACACAGAAAACAACAAAACCTTACTGAAAGAGATTAAATAAATGAAGTGATATTGTACTGGTGAAGATTGTTATATTGTAAAGAGATCGTTTCTCTCCAAAATGTAGTCTAGATTTAATACGTTCTCAATTTCTGAAAATTGATAAGCTAATTTTAAAATTCAACTGGAAAAGCAGAGGAACAGAATAGTTGAGGTAGACTTACCACAAAAGTAAAATAATGTAGATATTCACATAAAACTAACTAATAGAATGAAATAAAAAATTCAAACTTAAACCACACACACACACACACACACACACACACAAGCTTTGGTAAATTTGATATGTAACATGTTGCTTATTTGCATGTGTTATAGTACTCTAAATTTATACAGGAAATTTCTGTACCTTGTAATATTGATGTGTTATACACATAGTATATAATCAATAAAAACTGTTTTGTTAAAGAAAGTTGCTTCATTCTGTTATGCAACAAATATCAACTTTCAGTCTTCTAGATGATTGCTATAGGTTTATTGCATCAACAGCTTCCATGGTTGCACTTTCTGTATCATAGCCTTTGATAATCCCTGGCACCTTGACTCTGGGTTTAGTCGGTGATTGGGCTAATCAAACACCTGCAAAGTTAATGTTAGTAGAGGCTTTTAAAAATGCTTGCAAATTTTTGTTTCAGTTTACAGAGCTCTGTCATTACCACGTGAAACACCTCTGCTAACCTGCTGTAGGGATTTGAGAGACACAGAGAAATAAGCCAAGTCATTTTAGCTGAGGCCAGCCCAGCCCAACTGGCAAGCCCTCCAGCCAGCTGGCCAGAGGCACATGAACATACCTGGCATAGATCAGCTAAGCCCAGAGACCCACAGACATGTGAGAAATAATAAATGAGTTGTTTAAAGCTACTAAATGCTATGGCGATTTGTTAACCAACAATAACTACCATATAATGGTGATAAAGCACTTAAGAAAACACACAGAAACCCTGCCTTCATGGTAATTATTTTCAAGTTATCAATGTACATGAAGCCAGATGGTGATAAATGCTATGGAAAAAATAAGAAAGCGGGGAGATTTGCTTCAACACCATTAAATAAATTATGTGTAGGCAATAAATGTTTCCTATTTAAATAACAAAAAAATTAAGTTTTCACAATTGCATTTTTAAGAGAAACTTTTAGTATAGTTTTAAATTTACAGAACAAAATCTAAACATTGTATAGAATTCCCATATACCCCACACCAATTTTGCCTATATTAACCTCTTACAGTAGTATGGTACCTGTTACACTCAAGGAACCACAGTAAATAAATTATGAAGCTTTTACTTTATTCAGATTTTCTTAGTTTTTACCTAATGTCCTTTATTTTTTCTAGAATTTTATCCTGAATATGATATTACATTTAATATTCATGACTTCTTATGGTATTCTTTGCTCTGACAGTTGCTCAGATTTTTATTTTTTTAATTTTCTTTTAAAATTTTTTTATATGGAACACTTCATGAATTTTCATGTTTCAACCTATTGCAAGGGCCATGCTAATCTTCTCTGTATCATTCAAATTTCACTGTATGTAGTGCTGAAGCCAACACGGATTTTCCTTGTTTTTTTATGACCTTGACAATTTTGAGAAGTTATGGCTAGGTATTTTATACAATGCCACTCGGTTAAGATTTGTCTGGTGTTTTTGTCATATTTATATTGGGATTATATGTTCTTTTAAAATATTTTTTATCGATTTCAGAGAGGAAGGGTAAGAGAGAGAGAAATAGAAACATTGAAGAGAATCATTGATTGGCTGTCTCCTGCACACCTCATTTTGTGCATCTAGCCCATGAGCATATACCCTGACCAGGAATCAAACCATGACCTCCTGGTCCATAGTTCAATGCTCTACCACTGAGCCAAGCCAGCTGGGCAGGATTATATGTTCTTGGGAAGAGCACCACAGAAGTAAAATGCCATTTTAATCACATCGTATCAAGGGTTTGTATGAACAACATGACTTATTACTGCTGATCTTAACATTGATCACCTGACTGAACTGTTAGACAGTTTTCTCCAAGATAAAGTTTCTATTTCCCACTTTCTCCAGACTGCAATTTTTCAAGGGAAGTTACTATGAGTAGTACAGAATGAAGGAATGTGGAGATTATATTCCACTTCATTGAGGGTACAGCATCTATGTAAATTATTTGGAATTCTTCTGAATGAGAAATTTGTCATTTCTCCTCAATTTATTTACTCAGTTATTTTTAGATCAGTATAGACTCCTGATATTTAATTTATATTTTGGTTATAACCCAAAATAGAAAATATTTTGCAATTGGAGAGTTCTTTGAGTTGGTTTCTATGTTACTTTTAGATACTTGTATGGGGGTTGTGTGTGTGTGTGTGTGTGTGTGTGTGTGTGTGTCCATGCACTTGAGCATTTCCTTTCTGGCATCTAAGGTGCTCCAAGAGCATTCTGTATGTTTTCTAGAATGACATTTTCCTAAGGAGTGAAATCTTGGTTCCTTTTATTGCGGAATGCTATTAGAAACTAAATTTTAAGTCCTAAATGTGCTCATTGCTCCTAGGGTGGTGATATTTCTGGGTCCTCTCAGCTGACAGAGTAAATATGTATGAATGTAAACAATTGCCTTTTTCATTTTATTTTATTTTTCCAATACCATTTATATCCTCTATGCCCTTTTCCACCTCCCCCATTCTCTCCCACCCACCCTGGCAATCACCACATTGTTCTTCATGTCCATGAGTTCTCTCACTTTTTTTCTTCTTCTGCCAAACCCCACCCTTCCCCTAGTATCCTCCCCACCCCCATGCCAGTTGCCTGATCTCTGGCTATAAGTCTGTATTTTGCTTGGTTGTCCAGTTTGTTCATTAAATTCCACATATAAGTGAAATCATATAGTACTTATCTTTCTCTGACTGGCTTATTTCACTTAGCATAATGTTCTCCAGGTCCATTTATGACATCACAAAGGGTTAATTTTTCTTTCTTTTTACAGCAGAGTAAATAATTGCCTTTTTAGGCACTAAAATATTATTTATATATTGATCACTATAGTTATTATATATTTAAATTAAAAAAGCAATTATTGTTTTCCTATAAGGATATAACCTCTGTAGATTTGTTATTCCAAATCCCAGTAAATGGAAATATATTTTATATCTTCAAGAAATAATCTTTAAAGTTGCATGTTTAGAAAAAAGAATTTCTTCCCCTTAAATCATCTTTATTAGTACTTGCATAGTGACTTATTACCTGGTAATAATAGTATTTAAGGTACAGTTGGGGGAACTAATGCTGGAATAACGTCCACCTATTTCCTGACTTGCAAATCACATGCTAAGTTTGTCAATACAAGGTGTAAAGTCTAAGTATGAGAATATTAAATGAAAAATTTGGAACTTCCATGTGTTAATTTAGTATGTGTGTTACAGCACAAAGGCCCCATTTTTCTCTTCAGTTCCATGGTTTATATACTAGCATAACCATGATTGTTAAGTTTTCTTTTGAAGAAGTGCAGTGTTTCTGTATTTATAGGCAAGCAAATATGTCAGAGGATATGGGACATGTGAAACTGAAGGAATATAGGCTATTCCTTCAGCAAATAACCCAAGGCTCTTTGCTAAATCTCATCTCTGGTACAAAAAAATAAATAAATAAATAAATAAATAAATAAATAAATAAATAAATAAATAAAAATGAAGGTGTGAACTTCAAAAGAAACCAATCGAATACTGAGAGAGATGCCCGACAAAACACTTCCTGAAATGAATTACAGATTGATGATGGAATTGAAAAGAGAGAAGTGATGCTACAAAAAAAAATTCTTCAACTGTTTTTTAAAGGATCAAGGGAATGAAATACATCCACGGACTGGTAAGCATGCACAGCCAGCCATTTCCATCCATCATCCATGTTCTGAGAGGCAGCGGTGCTATTCTGACTTTGGAATCTTGAATTTCCTTAACGAGGTCTTTGCTAGAATATCACAAGCCATTTGAGTAAATCAGTTTCAGGCGACTTAGGCTGCATTTGTATTAAAACGATATTATATATCTATCATTTCAATAGAGGCTAAAGTGAGACTGGCTAAAGGAGAAGGCAATGTGGCATCCGCCAGCAAACCTGAATTTATACTGTGTTTCAACTTTCCACTCACACAAGTGTTTCCTAATGTAGGCTGAAGCCATCCATTTCAGCCTGACTTATTCATGCCTAAAAGTGATTGCTTTAGACAGCCAATGAAATACTGAACTCCCTCCTCCTGTCTCTTGGTGTAGGAGAACTACAGATACTGATGGTTTAAAGTAACAAGATTGACTACACGGAGGATCAGTCAGAATGTCAAGATGAATCCTTGACAGTCACGTTGACTTTTAAATGCAGTTATAACCATAAAAGTGACTGGGTAAAAATGGTGATAGAGGAGTCCATTTATCTCTCACAGTGACTTCTATAGGGGATTTATTAAGTTTTTGAGCTTCAAGAGCTTATGATTTTCTAACAAGGAGTTGGTAAAAGTTATGATGGTATTAGCAAGCTAAAGTCTGTCTTAAAAAATCACCACCAGATACAAGGAATTACAAATCATGGGGCACAAATGAGATGTTAGGAGATAACAAAGCTGAAGTTTCCAAATTTGTACTCTAAAGCATCATTTCCAGGGATCAAACATATTTTTCTATCTTTAGCCAATGTCAGGACAAGCTCATCCACACACCAAATCCTAAGGTGTGGATAAATCGGTATTCTTTTTATCAGAAAATAACATCTTTTGGACAAGAATTTTAACCATAGCAATCAGTCTATAAACAACATTTAACTTCTGAAAAGGATATTTTAAAGAACTTTTTGCTTTGTTTCATTTGGGATTTCCATATGGAAGTTCGTATATCAGCCAAACATTTCAGAATTGTGAAGGAAGTCCCCTCCTTACCTGCCTCCCTCCTTTTTTTACTTCTTTCCCTCTCCACTCCTATGCAGAACAATTTTGCTTTGGACTCAAACTTGAATATTACACTCATCTAAACTTTCTCTCTAACAAATAAACTTACAACTAATAGAATATTCTTGTCACTTCAGGCTGGTGTGGTTCAGTGGTTGAGCGTTGGCTCATTAATCAGGAGGTCACAGTTCAATTCCAAGTCAGGGCACATCCCTGAGTTGCAGGCTTGAACTCCAGTAGGGGGGTACAGAAGGCAGCTGATCAAATATTCTCTTTCATCATTGATCTTTCTATCTATCTCTCCCCTCTCTCCCTCCCTCTCTGAAGTCAATAATAACATTTTAAAAACTCTAAAATAAAATAAAAATAGAATGTCCTTGTCTTAGAAGGATTTTTTTTTTTTGCTATTGTGGTTTATCAAAGTTTTACATTCAAAGAAATAATATTTTCTTCATAATAATTTTTATTCCAATAAGATGTACAGTTTTCTTTATATCATTTTACCAAATGGAGAAAATTAAAAAGGAGTTAATTGATGGTTTGAATGACATATAGGAATTTTTGAACTGAGAAAATGTCATTGAATTTATTGATTAAATAGCTGATTTTTATGGACTAATTTCTACGTTATCTTAGAGGCTGAAGGATCATTAAAAATGTATCTTTACTGCTTCCAAGCCTACATGATCACATTGCAGTATTAGAGCCAGATTGTGAGAGGGATGTTCGATGGGTAGTTGGACATCCCTTGAGGGGTCCCAGATTAGAGAGGTACAGGCTGGGCTGAGGGACACCCCATCCCACCCCTGTGCACAAATTTCATGCACTGAGCCTCTAGAGTAGAGGTGTCGAACTCAATCAGAGAAGGGGCCAAAATCTAAAATCCAGCCTAAATCGCAGGCCGAATGGTTTACTGAACAGTCATAAACTGTCATTGTGATGGAAACGCAGCGGAGTGCAGTGATGACAGCAGTGCGGACCACATTGCAAGGCCTGGCGGGACGGATTTGGCCCGCGGGCCTTGTGTTTGACACATGTGCTCTAGAGGTTAAATAATTATTTTCATATCTTTATTTGCTAGTTCTGATTTCTGTGTCAGTGTTTATTGGTTTTAATTGATTGATTTTTCTCTCAATTATTTGTCCTATTTTCTCGCATATTTTTGTCTGTAAATTTTTTATTGTATGCCAGACATTGTTAACTTTTGCTGTTAGATGTGTGCTGTGTTCATATTCTCATAAATATTCATGCAATGTTTTCAAAATGCAGTTAGGTTAATTGGAATCAATTTGATTCTTCCTTTGAAGACTGTCAGGCTTTGTTCTGATCAACAGCTAAGTAACTTGTAGTTTAGTTTCTTCCTCTATAGCCTTTTTTTTTTTTTTTTTTTTTTAAGCTTGGGTAGGAAAAATATAGAATGGCCTTTCTTCTAGTCATAACTTTTTGGTGTTTTTTTGTTTTGTTTGTTTTTTTACAACTATCGTAGATATGGTTTATTTAGTCCCAGTGGAGGTGATCTCCAGTTACCTGGTTGGTTGGAATTTAATCAATACTCTTCATGTGAGCCTTGGGAGGTATTCATCTCTCATGTCGACAGTCATTCTATGCCTAACTTCATGGAATTTCTACCTT